TAGTGCTGCTTTGTCTTCTATATACTTCTGGTTGTTTTCTTCCTCATCATTTGTGGTTCCATTGCTACTCACTGGAACTTTCCCCTTATATCTATCTGTGCTCAGTCTTCGCTCAAGTGACGGTGTTTTCACCCCTTCTCTTACAACTTGGTCTGTCTCTGCTCTTTTAAATTTTATTTTCTTTTAAAACACGTACATTTTCATTGTGTATTGTTAACAGCAAGTTTTGCATGCGCTGCAAAGACGGGAAGAAGAATAAAGGACAAAGTAAACTACTTCTATTTAAATATTTAAATCATATTCTAGAACTGCTTCTTCCTTCTTATTCTGTAGTTGGCTTGAATCAAGCCAGATAAACTTGAAACTAAATTACAATAAAGCACCAAATAAGTTTCATGATGTTGTACTTAGATAACTATTTCAAATAAACCTGTTGTACTGATAGAGGAATGTAAATGATGGTAATAATGAAGAACAATTTAGAGCTTATGTTCTCCCACTTTGTCAATTTGCTTTTATTTTGGCTGATACACATGGAGTATAACAAATCTTCAGCAGTGATATCTAAAGAGAAATTAGAAAAAAAGGAAACTTTATTGGGAAGAGATGAGTAGAATTAGCATATGATGACTTCAAATGGTAATGAGGGGCATGTAGGCCTCCTTTACTCAGGCACTTTAAACCTGACTCAACTGAGCAGCTTAGATCAGTAAGAAACAAGTGGGTGTAGCAGAGAGACAGTGATGTTCTCAGAAGCTCACAAGAGCCAAAGACAATATACATTCTCACATTCCTAGAAAGCCGAGATGCAACAAAACTATTCTGGATGTTAAAGCACATAGAACTCAAAATGCAGAGAACTAGTGCAGTGAATTCTTTGCATATTTGATCTAAAACTCCTTTTTTCTCAGTGCTCACACACTCATTTATCCAGAGCCTTGCAAATGAGGGACATTACTTGACAGAAAAATTCTATTTCTGTCATTTTAACTGATAACCACCAAATAATGAAGACTTCCAGGCTCTTATTCTTCTTCACTTCTTTAGAAAATAAAGGTTGCCCCTCTCTGAATGACTGAGGAAATTTTTAAGCAATCTACAAGTCAAGTTATTTAACTGAAAAATGATGACAGACAAATGATACTATCAAGTTTGCTCCAGACAGTTTGCTACTGCAAAATGAAAATAATTTCAAGCAAATCTCACAAAAGAAAAATCCCCTTGAATGGGTTCTTAAGCACTATTTAATCACAAACACTCCAAGCAAGAACAGAGACTTCCTGGGATGTGGTATGTGTATGCATGCAAACCTAGGACAAAAGATTTGATCCTTTGGAGTGATGGGTCTTCTGTGCACCAAACTGGAGGGAAGGACTGCACACACAGACACAGATGATGAAATTTGCTGAGTAGGTCCATCTTCTTGTTTATGGCAATCAATTTAACAACAGTAAAACAGAAGGTAAATCAAATTACATTGTTAAAAGTAGAACTTAGTATTTCTAATTCTGTTCTTAGGAAGAACTACGTAAGGCATGTACATGATAGGTTGGATGCAATCTATGGAAAGCTGACCTTGACAGAAACACAACTTGTAATCAAAAGTATTATTTTTGTACTACCATAATGACATTATTGCTTGACATATATTTACTTGTTATTAAGATATCTGGTCCTTATGTTATGGAAATAAAAACCGGCACATTCCCCCTCCCCTCCAAAAAAAAAAAAAGTTTAAAAAGCCAGGCCAAAGCCTCTTATTACTCTTTAAACAAAACACCAATCCAATCCTAAGACTCTTCAGTTTGTACCAATTAAGAATTTTATGTTGACAATTTCTACTGGGGACACCTAAAATAAACCATATTGTTTTAGGAAGTTTCTGAGAACAGGCAGGCTAAAATCAAAAGAAGAGGAACACAGCGGTACTTCAGTTGTGAAAGCCTCAGAAGCTGCAAGGAAGCTGCAGAACTATAATAAAATATAGAGTTTAAACCTACACGTAGGCTGGGCTGGCAGCCAGTGTGATGCATCCTGCAACTGAGACTACACTCCCAGGTGTCCTGTGTTGGGCAGTTCCAACAACCAACCTGACCTTGCCTTGTACTTCATCTGCAAGCATCTAAATCTTAAGGAGACACATAGAAAATACAATTTTTGCTGCTTCACTGATGCACACAAAGTTCTCGCAAGGGACAATGCTTTTCCTCGGGGAAGAAATTGATGTTAAAGCCGGAATAAAGCCTAACTAAGGCACTATGTACTATATGTAACATAGTAATAGCTTATAGAAATAAAATTATATATGGATATGTTTGTATATATACAAGCAGACACACACGACATATAATTTTCAAACAATTCTCCACAAAACCCATGTTTTGAAGAACAAAAGTTAAGTTGAAAATAGGCTGTTTAGCAACAAGAGTTTCTGAAGCACACAAATCTAGCTGCTCTTAAACTCTTCACATAGAGAGAAGAAAAAGAAATATGGGACTCTTAGCAGACTTTTCAAACTCTGGGTGAAGTCCCAAATTACTACCTTTTCTACCTAGCTGTTTATTTTTACATAAAGTCTGACATATTATGTTTTCCTCCAAACACACTTTAAGTAAGCAAACAAGCCACAACGGAAATCAGGAACCCATCCTTTAAAGATGAACAACTACAAAGCACACGCCTACTAACACACCATATAATCTCAATATTAGGAATGGAAAAAATAAGATAGCAGCATTTTCACGTACAGCTTGGTATGAAAGGTAGCAGCCACTGTAGTTTTGCATACTCACTAGTTTTGCACTGACAAATGCGGCAACCATTTTGGTCCAGTTTGAAGCTATAGATACAGTCTTTTTCAGTCAAAGTGCAGTTCACCAAAATCTCACAGGTGGGTGGACCTATTGTGATGTATGTTGGTTCTGGAGGTAAGAAAAAATGAAACAAATATATTTGAGATTATTTGAGTATTTCAGGTTCACAAAAAAGCATACACAAAGCAACAGTGAAGAGAATAATTTTGAATTATTTTTGCTTCTGATTAATAAATGTTCTTAAACAATTCAAAACCAGAATTTGTTTTGAAGTGATATACACTCATCACAAAGAATATAAAGTTGCATAATGTTTTTGAAATATTGAAACAGGAAAAAAAAAATTTTTTTGCTCACTATGAAATCAGCTTCCCTGCTGTTTAAAGTTCAAAATTGAATGTAAAATACCTACTTTGCTCTCTACTTTTCTGCAAAAATATTTAATCAAAACTTTGTGCAGACTTTTTTACTTCAGAAACTGAACAGAGCTTTCTCCAAAGCTCACTTGATTGATACTACCAAGCTGCAAATCAAAGCACGTGACTCAGTAGATCAAATTTTTCTCTGTGAATAAAATCACTTTTACTGTTATTTAAAGAAGAAAAGACACTGAATACAAAAAGGGAATGCAGGATACACTGTGTATTAATGTTCTCTGGAAACCATTTAAGAAGCCTATTCATTTAAAATGTCTCTTTTTAAAGTATACTTCTCAGTACTAGATTATGCTCTTTGACACCGAGGATTTTATTGCCGATTATTTGGCATTTATGAACAGCGTAATATGTTTGGACATAATTTAAATACACTGGAGTATGAGACTTGTTTTAATACATATAGCAGCCAGAAACATTAATGTGTTTTAGTATATAAAGCTGTTAATATCCAAAGTAATATCCAAAGATTAGCAGCAAAATGATGGCTAAGGAGAATCTTCATCCTTTATTGGATCTTTAGGGAAACAAAGGGTGAGGAAAAGCCTGAGGTACCTGATGCCACCTTTGCCTCATTCTTCAATAGCAAGAGCAGTTGTAATTCAGATGCCCAGCCCCCTGAGCTATTAAGAGAGGGATGGTGAGCAGAATGAAGCCACCACAATCCAAGGGGCAATGGCCTGTGACCTGCTGCACCACTTAAACACACACAAGCCTATGGATGGATGCCAGATGGATCCACCCAAGAGTGCTGAGGGAGCTGGAGGAAGTGCTCATGAAGCCACTTTTCATCATTAACCTGCAGTCCTGGCTAACTGGGGAGGTCCCACTGGACTGGAAGTTAGCAAATGTGACACTCATCTACAAGAACCAGAAAGAGGATCTGGGGAACTACAGGCAAGTCAGTCTGACCTTGGTGCCAGTGAATATTATGGAGCAGATCATCTTGAGTATCATCATGTGGCACGTACAGGACAACCACGGTGATCAGGCCCAGCCAGCGTGGGCCCATGAAAGGCAGGTCCTGCTTGACCAACCTGATTTCCTCCTATGACAAGCTGACCCGCTTAGTGCACGAGGGAAAGACAGACTGTGGATGTTGTTTGCCTGGACATTACTAAAGACTTTGACACCGTTTCCCACAACACTGGTGTAGAAGCTGGCTGCTCGTGGCTTGGGTGGGTATACTTTTTGTGGGGTAGAAAACTGGCTGGATGGCTGGGCCCAAAGAATAGTCATGAATGGATTTAAATCCAGTTGGCAGCTGGTCACAAGTGGTGTTGTCCAGGGCTGTTTTGTGTTAAGGCCACTTCCATTTAACATTTTATCAATGATCTTGATAAGAAAATAGAGTGGACCCTCAGTAAGTTTGCAGGTGATACTAAGCTGGACACTGATCTACTTGAAGGAAGGAAGCCTCTTCAGATGAACCTGGACAGGCTGGATTTATGGGTCAAGGCCAAAGGTATAAGGTTTAACAAGGCCAAGTGCTGGCTCCTGCACTTGAGTCACGACAACCTCATGCAGTGGTACAGGCTTGGGGAAGAGTGGCTGGAAAGCTGCCTGGCAGAAAAGGACCTGGGGGTGTTGGTCAACATCCGGATGAGTATGAGCCAGCAGTGTGCCCAGGCGGCCAAGAAGGCCAACAGCATCCTGACTTGTGTCAGAAACAGTGTGGCCAGCAGGAGTAGGGAAGTGATCGCCCCCCTGTACTCTGCACTGGTGAGGCCACACCTCTCGTACTATGTTCCATTTCGGGCACCTCAATACAAGAAAGATATTGAGGTGCTGGAGCAGGTCCTGTAAATTGCAACTAACCTGGTGAAGGGTCCAGAAAAGAGGTATTACAAGGAGCAGCTGAGGAAACTGGGGTTGTTTAGCCTGGAGGAAAGGAGGCTGAGGGGAGACCTTATTGCTATCTACAACTACCTGAAAGGAGGTTGAGGAGAGGTTGGTGCCAGTCTCTTCTCATAAGTAACAAGTGATAGGACAAAAGGAAATGACTTCAGGTTGCACCAGGGGAGGTTTAGTTTGGATATTATGAAAAATTTCCTCCCTGAAAGGGTTCTGAAGCATTGGAACAGGCTGCCCAGGGAAGTGGTTGAGCCATCATCCCTGGAGGAATTTAAAAGGCATGTCAATGTTGTGCTTATCAACATGGCTTAGGGTGGACGGTGCCAGGCTTAGTGTTGGGCTTGATGATCTTAAAGGTCTTTTCCAACCCAAATCATTCTATGACTTATGAAAATAACAAGGAATCTCTAACACTACCGTCATAAAACAGAAGTAATGAAACACCTATCTTTTCCTGAATTACTTTTTGCTCTGTGAGACTAATTTAGTTTATCTTATGCTTTTCATAGAACTCAAGCACTTAAGAACCAACAAATTTATAGTTATGAGCATTATTAACATTACACTAAGCATTCAGGAAACACAAATGCATGACTTTTAAAGAACTGTGAGGTTTTCTTCATCTGTTTCAATTGTTTGTGTTTATCCTATTACTCTATATCAAGAAACGAAGACTTGATGGAAATTACATTTAAAAAAAATCAATACATGTATCTATAAATCGTGTAAATATGGAGAAACAGTTTAGTAAACATCAGGGCAATAAGCCATAATACGTTTTATACAGTATGCACATTTTCACAGACTGGAGGTTGCCACATCTTATCATCTCATTCTCAAACCAAATACACTGAAAGGCAGATTTTGCCATCCTTACTTAAAAGGCAGCTAAACTGAGTCAAGTTGTTAGAAGTATACATTGTTAACCAAAACAGAAATTCCTGAGCCTATTGGCTCCATGTCCAGCAGGCAGTTTATGCACCCATGCCTTCCAGTCAAGTGAAAATTATCCTATTATGAGAATGAGCTTTTCTGCGTTCATTGTCTTTCACCATTTTCAGCTTTCATAGCTTCTCTCCAGCCCTACTCTTCCCTTCACAACAGTTTATACAGTGGATGAATGTTTTTAATCCTTTTTAAATTAGGTCAGCTAAGTACAGAGTTTGGAGGGAAAAACTTTATTAAATACACCACAGTGATGTTAGACAACTTCAAATTTATCTCAGAGGACACAGTGCAGATTCCTCACTTTGCTGAAAGTTTCAAAGTAACATTCTACTGCTTCTGTAATTTTTATAGCAAAAGTAGCCATATTCTTTATACGTATATAAAACACCACCAACATATCTGCTCAAATACAAGCTGGAAATTTGTATAATGGCATCTGTCTCGCTGTAAATCACTCAAATCTCTTCCCATTTAAATTAAATTTTTTCTAGATTTTTTTTTTTTTTGAAGAGTTTAAAACTGATTACTAGGTTGGAAGTCAATGGAGAGGTTCCATAAATTTCCATGGATTCTTTTTTTCACAGCCCTGCATTTGCACATGCAGTACGGAAGAATAACCATAATGAGCAATGTATTTTAAAATCCATAGATTCCCAAACTAGACTTCTTTTAATTTCCGTGAACTCTTTGCTTTTGTTTTCGAGTTCATTCATTAAACTGACAAAATCATATTCACGTCTAATATTTAACATTTGCAGCTTCAAGGTATCATTAGTTTAGGACTCAAGACCATATTGTTATATACCAAGAATATCATTTAATCCAGAAACTCCATTAATTAATCCTGTCTGTTCAGGACTCCAAGTTTTTGCAAAATTAGTTTATACAAATTGATTTTTTGCATCTGGAGCCCATTCTGAAAACCTCCTTTCCTACCTCACTCCATTCTCTAACCAAAATATGCTAACCACGCAACAGTCTGAAATACAGGAGTTATCCTGAAGTGACACTCAGGTCGCTCAGGTCAGCCAGCCCTAACCCTACACTTCAAATGATAAAAAAGCCACAGTAGTCTTGGACACAATGACAGAAAAATTTTTTGCCCACTTTATATATTGAGTGCTGTGGTATTTCTTACAAGGGACAAAATTAAACTGTCATTATATTAATTTGAATGGGTTTTGTTATTCCTCTGTTTGCTGGGTTTATTATTCTGTTACCTCCCACTTTTGTGTCTACTCTCAGCATCCTCAGTGTTTCCAGACAAGTTTACAAATCTGTTTTTATTCCCTCCGACCCCTAAAGGTAAGCTCTGAGATACAGTAATTTTATATGCATGCCTGCTTCTCAATGAGCTGCAAGTGGAGGACAAAAGAAATAATTTCAACCCCTACCCCCACATGTGCAAAAATGCAGCCAGGAAAAAAAAAAAAAAGTCAGCCCTTTTCACTTCGCTAGACAAGACTCAACAAATAAAACCAGCCCTGCTCTGCCAGGCTTCTGGCTATTTGAATAGGCAAGCAGTAGCTAAGCTTGAAAAAGCATCTACCACTGCCTGATGTGAGCTAGGCTTTCACTGCTGCTCTTCCTAGAAATGGCAGAAGAAAGATCCAGTGCACAAATGCACAGACAATGGGTGGAAAAGAGGGTGCTGTTTCTGTCTGTGTGCTTTAACAACAATAAAACTATACTGTAGAAAGAAAGAAAGAAGAAATTAAAGAGAAAGGGATTGAAAAGAGTCTGGATGAAAACAATGGATTATTTTTATTTTTTTTTTTTAATAGAGCACAGAATTTGCTCAAGTGCTTACACATATAGTTAAACGCAGATTTCTATTAGAAGATCTCGCTTCCATACAACCTCTCTGCGGCT